ATCTATATATAATATGTACATATATATAATATATTTATATATATATATATATATACACTTCTTTATCTCCATTATTCTTTTTATTCTTTTTTTAGATTGCGACGTTGCTTTGTTCCCTAAAGTCCTTTTACTGCATGGAGTCGATAAAATGTGAGAGGGAGAGAGAGGAAGAAGGGGAGAGAAATGACGAGGAAGGTGGAAAAGGGGAGAATGAAGGAGAGAGAGGGAGGTGGAGAGAAATAGGGAGAGATGAATGGAGAAGACAAGGGAAAAGAGGAGAAGACGAATGGTAAGGAAAAAGAGAGAGAGGGAGAGGGATATGGAGACTAAGGGAGAAAGAGAAGATGTGAGGATAAGTGGAGGGAGGAGGGAGAGAGGAGGGAGGGAGGGAGAGAGGAGGAAGGGAGGGAGAGGGGGAGGAGGGAAGGAGAGAGGGATGGAGGGGGAGAGTAATTAGAGCAAGAGAGGAGAGATAATGAAAGAGAGAGAGAGAGGAGAGAGGGAGAGGAGGGAGAGAGAGAGAGAGGAGAGAGGAGAGAGGAGAGAGAGAGAGAGAGGAGAGAGGAGAGAGGAAGAGGAGAGAGAAGAGGAGAGATAGGAGGAGAGAGATATATATATATTATAAATATATATATATATATATATATATAGAGAGAGAGAGAGAGAGAGAGAGAGAGAGAGAGAGAGAGGATAGAGAGAGAGAGAGAGAGGAGAGAGAGGAGAGAGAGAGAGAGAAGAGAGAGAAGAGAGAGAGAGAGAGGAGAGAGAGATAGGAGAGAGAGGGAGAGGGGAGGGAGGGAGGGGAGGGAGGGAGGGAGGAGGGAGGGAGGGAGAGAGAGAGAGAGAGAGAGAGAGGAGAGAGAGAGAGAGAGAGAAGAGAGAGAGAGGGAGGGAGGAGGGAGAGAGAGAGAGAGAGAGAGAGAGAGAGAGAGAGAGAGAGAGAGAGAGAGAGAGAGAGAGAGAGAGAAGAGAGAGTGAGAGAGAGAAGAGGGGAAGAGAGGTGAGAGAGAGAGGGAGAGAGGGAGAGAGGGAGAGAGGGAGAGAGGAGAGAGAGAGAGAGAGAGAGGAGGAGGGAGGGAGGGAGGAGAGAGAGAGAGAGAGAGAGAGAGAGAGAGAGAGAGAAGAGAGAGAGAGAAGAGAGAGAGAGAGAGAGAGAGAGAGAGAGAGAAGAGGAGAGTGAGAGAGAGAGAGAGAAGAGAGGGGGAGAGAGAGGAAGAGAGGAGAGGGAAGGGAGGGAGAGAGAGAGAGAGAGAGAGAGAGAGAGAGAGAGAGAGAGAGAAGAGAGAGAGAGAGAGAGAGAAGAGAGAGAGAGAGAGAGAGAGAGAGAGAGAGAGAGAGAGAGAGAGAGAGAGAGAGAGAGAGAGAGAGAGAGAGAGAGAGAGAGAGAGAGAGAGAGAGAGAGAGAGAGAGAGAGAGAGAGAGAGAGAGAGAGAGAGAGAGGAGAGAGAGAGTGAGAGAGAGAGAGAGAGAGAGAGAGAGAGAGAGAGAGAGAGAGAGAGAGAGAGAGAGAGAGAGAGAGAGAGAGAGAGAGAGGGAGGGAGAGGGAAAGGGAAGGGAGAGGGAGAGGGAAGGGGGTTGGAGAGAAGGATAGGAAAAAGAGGAGGGAGAGAGAGGGAGGGAGAATGTTACATGTAATTTAAACCTATTTCGAGATTCCATTGTGGGCCTATAACAGGGATTCTTCTTGTAGGACGATAATGATACAAATTATTTTGAGCAGGATGGGGCCTCATTCCGCGCGCGCGCGTGTGTGTGTGTGTGTTTGTGTTTATGCCCGCTTACGTGAGCGTAAGTGCGCGCGCGCGTGTGTGCGCACATACACCACACAATAACAAATTATCAGACACTTAACACCGCCATGATATATGACAAACGCACAGGAGAAAGGGTCCGTGAGACAAGCAGAGAAGCAGACAAACAGGCAATTAGCCAATCATTTCGGGTGTGTAATTACGCAGGCATTTAGACAGACGGGATACGCGGGGCGGTGGAGCTGCCATCTAGCGGCGGGATCTGGCTCCAGCCCGGCAGACGAGACAGCAAGACAGCGGGTATGCTGGGTATGACAGTAAAGTCGAAAGACAGGCAGATGAACCCTCAGATAAGGAGGGGAGCGGAGGGGCGAGGAAGCGGGTACGGTGACGGACGGGCAGACTGGCAGGGCGCGGCAGGGCATGGGCCGCTAGACAGACAAGCAGACAGGGATTGCCGACTCGGCAGTGGCAAGCGGTTCAAGAAGCAGGCAGACCGGGGCATGGCTGGACGGGTAGGCCTGGCAGGTCGACGGGCAGCGGGGCTCTTGCAGGGCGAGGGAGGCAGATAGGCTGTGGTATGGCAAGGTTAGACGGGATGGCAGGCTCCTGTTGTCGCGGCGGCGTTCCACAGGATCGATGTACGTACGCATTCTGGACTCGGCCCAAGAACGCACCGGTGTACGCACGCACATGTACACACATAAGTACACGTACACATATACGCACGCGTATACACACAAACACAC